CCCCAAAACCCCAAAACCCCAAAACCCCAAAACCCCTTCTTCTTGGACTCCAGTTGAATTCGAGTGAACTAGTATTTAGACCAAATCTTTTATTTCTTCTCGTGTTTTTCTTCTTCGTCAGCCTGGATGTTGAGGGCTTCATTATTGGGTGGATCTATTGTGAGTTAAGGCGAGACTTACTGTTTGGAGTGGTATCGGAATGATCTGCCTTTGTGTATATGTGTCCACATGATTGGCATTTCCACTTTGGCTGCTTGCCAGTTTTAGTCTGATTTGGAGTTGCATTCTGGGTGGTAGGCATAGGCTGCGTTGTAGCCATATCATTTGGGGAAACTAGAGAATTAAAAAGACGATACAATTTTGATGGGATATACTCATTGGAGGTTCCTCATGGACAAGCTGGAAACCATTATTCTGGCCTCTCCTAGGTGGAGGTTGGGTGAGATTACCAGGATGATCCGCAAACCTATGACCTTCAGGATTTACATGATGAATTCTATGGTTATTTTTGCAACAACAACATCCCTTCTTTCATCAAATGCAAATAGCCAAGATACAGCCAAAGCAAAAACAGCAAATTCCAAAGGAGGTTCCCACAATAATCCAAACTTTATTCTTCCTATGAGAAATAATCATGCCGCTTACTTATCAGTATATTCAGAAGGCTCCAAAGTAATATTAAAACTGTTATAGGAAATATAAGGCTCGACCAGGACATAGACATCATAATCTTCATTAAGGGATACCCTCCTACTACTGCCAGCACTCATCTTGGCATTATAGGTGTAGGACTCCTTCCCTGAAGGATTTGTGAAAATTGTTATGTTAGCGCCGGTCAGGTTGACTATGGGAAGGGGTTAGTGAGAGGAAGGATTGGGGATTGGGGTGGAGGTTTAGGAAGGGAGGGTAACCTCAATAAATCTCTCTTGTCTTAATGTAACGATATGTCATAATTTTATCTCAAAACTTGTGCTTAGTATTTTAACAAAACTTAATGAGCAACATTGCAGATCTCTTTCATCCTACCTTCATTTTATTAAATCAATGCAGAGACTAAATATCAAGTATAAAAATCTCAAAATTTTCATTATTGTTTACGTATCCAAAAATATCTTGAAAAACTAATGCGAAGCTTCTTAAGAAATTCTAAAAGACAGGTGAACTAGTATATAAATGTAAAGAACTCAATAATACTTAATGCTAGCCCCTTGATTATAAGGCTATGGTAAAAGTTTGAGCAAACAAGTAAAAATAAAATTCTCAAGAATTTTAAGATCCTTACCTAGCTTGATTTCAACGCTTTTCACATTGCTATTGGCTGTATATAACCTATAACTTCACACTGAATTAGATGATATATGGCTGTTATTCAGTTTATATATATTTCCAATCGCTCCAAGATACAAGCTTTTTATCGAACAATCATAGATGTCATAAGGGCAGAGTATCAGGGCTCCTTTACTGTCAATCTTTGTAGAGTTTGATCAAACAAAGCTACTTCCGCCATAGCAATAACCTGTGTAATCATAAGAATTTCAACAATCTCCAAAGGTTTTATAAACACCAGTAGAAGTTCACCATCTAGTTGATGAACTATTAATTCAGCTTCTGCATGTTTCAGGACTACTAGTACCCAATTTTCTGCCAGGCAAGTCTCCAAAAGCTTTTGCGTAAAAAATAGTTACTATTATTAATAAAAGCTTCATTAGTTTTTCCATAATTATAACTTCAATAATATTTGCTTTAATCGGGGTTTTGGGGTTTTGGGGTTTTGGGG